TGACGAGAAATACGGAATACAATGGACTCCTCAGAATCAATTAAATGATTTGGACTTCGCAGATGACCTTGCCCTCCTCTCTCATACACACGAACAAATGCAGATGAAGACAGCAAATGTAGCAGCAGCCTCTGCATCGATAGGCCTCCACATTCACAAAGGAAAAAGCAAGATTCTCAAATGCAACACGGAAAACACCAACCCAATCACACTTGATGGCGAAACTCTAGAAGATGTGGAAACATTCACGTAACGGGGGAGCATCGTTGATAAACAAGGAGGATCGGATGCAGATGTAAAGGAGAGGATTGGCAAAGCAAGGGCAGCATTTCTATAATTGATGAACATATGGAACTCAAAACAACTCTCAACCAATTTCAAGGTCAGAATCTTTAATACGAACGTCAAGGCAGTCCTACTGTATGGAGCTGAAACGTGGAGAACTACTACAATCATCGTCAAGAAGGTACAAGTATTTATAAACAGTTGTCTACGCAAAATACTCAACATCCAGTGGCCGGGGACTATCAGCAACTGCTTTCTGTGGGAGAAGACAAACCAGCTTCCATCTGAAGAGGAAATTAGGAAAAGACGTTGGAAGTGGATAGGACATACATTAAAGAAATCACTAAACTGCATCACGAGGCAATCCCTAAGTTGGAATGGTGAAGGGAAGCGGAAAAGAGGAAGGCCAAAGAACACACTACACCGGGAAATCGAAGCAGATATGAAAAGGATGAATAGCAACTGGAAAGAACTGGAAAGGAAGGCTCAAGACAGAGTTGGATGGAGAATGCTGGTGAATGGTCTATGCTCCTCGACGAGGGGTAACAGGAGTAAGTAGGTAAGTAAATATTATAAATCCGTGTTGCTATTTTTACTTATTTGAATGTTCAGTATAATTAAGTGTGGACTGTGTTTTTGTGTGACCGCAAACTCGTTTTAGAAACTAGGTTTTCAACCATGATCCATATGTTCTTTAACTTCTGATGCTGTCATGAAAATTCCATTTTCCAACAAGATGTTATTCTACTCTTAAGGGTTAAAAATTGAATCATCTTGTCTGTCAGTGTGTACAAAGCAAAGTAGATTTAGCTAAAAAATAATTTTATATAGTTGAAATCATGAGTCAATTGAAGCTAGACAACCATGAACAACCTGAAAGCACTGGACGGCCGTAACTTCTCATTGTGGGACTCCTCAGCAGTGTGCACCCACGATCCGGCCCGCGAGATTCCAAACCAGGACCTACAAGTCTCGCGTCTGAGCGCTTAACCTCTAGACCACTGAGCCGGCCAGCATCCAACGGTGTTAATGTCTAACTTCAACCAATCCACGAAATTGAGCAGCCATTCACCATTGTCTTCAGTGAGTTCATATCTCACAAGAGAACTCCCCGCTTCTGATAAAAAAATAATTGCAAACTATGACTGTAGGATAGCTTGTTTTTCAAGGAAAATTTAATCTGTATATGTTTTTGAAATTTATGACAGTTTAGAAACCAATGAAAAGTATTTCTATTAAAAGTAACGGCATATCTGGTAGAGGAATATGACTGAATATAGTTGAAAGGAATCTCATAATTAGACCAAGTGTAACCCTTTACTTCATAAGTATTTAAACTACTTTCTAATTTAAATTCCTAGCAGAACTCAGTAGATAAGCGGATAATGTGATGGCGTTTTATGCGAACAGTACTGGGTTTGAGTCTCAGAGTGAACATGAACTTGGGATGTAGGTACATCCTTTGAACGAGTCCCAAATAGGACGAAACGTTCGTCTTAAATTACACTACTAGCCACTATACATCTTTTGTTTGTTAATTTGTTCCACTTTTGTATTTTACATATTTTCAACATTCGTCCCTTGATTCTTACAACGCTACTATAATACTCACCTTTCATCAAAATATTTTGTTAATTCCTCTTTAAATGTTATGCAAACTTACAACAGTTTGATAAGCAGAGATGGATAGTGGCTAGAAATGGAATCCAGTTTGATGTGCGTTTCGTCCTATTTGGGGCTCGTCAACTGGATGTTGATGTTCACTCTGGGATTCAAACAAACAATACTGAATGAATTTAAACTTCACCCCATCGCACAAGCAAGTGGCTATCAGGACTCAGTAGATAAGAGGATAACGCGATGGCGTTTGAAGCGAGGGTACTGGGTTCGAGTCCCAAAGTGAAAATCAACTCTGAGATGCAGGCACATCCAGCTGACGAGTCCTAAATAGGACGAAACGCGCGTTAACCTTGATTCCACTGCTAGCCACTATCCATCTCTGCTTACCATGCTTGTGAATTAAGGCTATATCGAAGCAATACACACAGTATACACATATGTCGATTAGAGACTGACCAGTTGCAGTCCTAACAAATCGATGGGATGATTCAAACAAACAATACTGAATGAATTTAAAGCAGTTTGGTTTTCAAATATTTAGTTTGATTATTGTAATCCTCTTTTTTCCAATTGCTCAATGTTGTTTTATAACCAATGTGTTACTACATAATTATTACATTACGTAACTACTTAACGAGTATTATTTCATTGTTGTAAATCATATATATTCGTGTACAGCCATGATGAGAAGCTAACTGCTGAGGAGTCCCGTAATAGGACGAAACGGCCGTCCAGTGTTTTCAATTGACTCATGATTTCAACTATGAAAAACTAATTGACAAGAAATTTCTTTGCTAGATTCATTCTTATAACCAAACGTAAAAATGATAATTTTCACTATATTACATTTTTTGCCAGTCCATACTTGTTACCAGTATATATCTACATTCATAAAGGAATGAAATCTGTTTAGACAAGTATTACATTGCAGAGTCAAAATAAAAATAGCACCATTGAGTTTTTCAGATTGAATAATTTTATGTAGGACTGAGACATTTACTTAATAATTGATGACTCGGTAACAACCACCTTACGTCAAATAAACTATACCATAATGTGAAGATGAAGTAAAGGTGAAGGTTCTTATGAGGCTATGAGGTGCTAGAAGTTTGTCATAATTGTGCATATTAATGGCGTTTAATGTGAGTAACCTATTCACAAGCGTGATTCATTTGAAGTAACCAAGTTATATGTTAAGATTAGTGTTTATAATAAAACAATACGGACGGCGGTAAAAGAACTGCAGAACCACCGCAAGAACTACTGCTTTAAAAGGGGGGATGAGTGTGGTCTGGGTTATTTATATCCACATAAGTAGTATATAGTGATGGTCAGGCATAGAATGTATTTGGACAGAAGATCGTTAACGAAAGAACAAAAATGAAGCGCAACCTGTACGAAAAAGCATGAACAATGAAATCAAAGAAGACGGATTGATATTTGCATAAGAAATTGTCAAGATTGAGACAGTTGATTGTTATTTTACAAATTCACTGTTTAGTGAGATATTCTGTCATTTATGCTTAAATACATTCGATTGTCCCCACCCGTGTTCTGCTTCACTACAATACTAGTAAAACATAGAAGTCATCTGTTCTGATAGAACTCATAAACCGGTAATTAAGAAGAATCAAGACGTTGAAAACAGGGATGAATTATTGATTTACAACACATTAATACCTTTTGTTTATAATTGCCTATTATGAAACCTGATTACCTATCACGGGCATACAATACTCTACTTTTCAATATTCTCATTATATACTACACCGATAAACAGTCTAATCAGTTACTAATCCATTAGAAGTTATCATTATTATTCTAATAAATTATACAAATAATCACAATTAATAAAATGATATTGATAGTATATTTAATAGTTGTCATCATGAGTCAATTGAAGCTAGACCACTTTGGAAAACGTGGAAGCACCGGACGGTCGTTGTGGGACTTCTCAGTAGTGCGCATACAAGATCCTGCCTCTCGAGATTCGAACCCAGAGCACTTGTCCGATAGATCACTGAGCCGGCCTGGATCCAACAGTGTTATTGTCTAACTTCAACCAATCCACGATTTTTTAGAATGATTTAATAATAACAATACTACTTATAAATAATAAGTAATTCAATATAAACATAAATTGTAAAAACAAAATAAAACAGAAAGGAAAAAAAACAAAAAAAAAGAAAGAAAATTTTCATCAACATTAAAATTTTTGCATGATACTAATAATTAATTAAACAACTTCATTTCATTTTCTCCCTCTCCCTCTCTCTCTCTCTCACACACTTTCATTGGCATAACGAATATCTAACTGTGATTGTGTGACATATTGAATAGAATTAGTAAATTAAAAAAGTCAAGAAGATGAGTTAATATATAAGAGTATCTGAGTAAAAAAAAAAGAAAAAAAAAACAAAAATAATCGATTGTTGTTTTGTTTTTTGTTTCTCTTTTCTCATTCAATAAAACTTAATTTATGCATTGATTTTTATTGATTTTTTTTTCTTAATTTCCCTTAGGGGTAAAACAGTTTTTTTTTCATTTCCACTTTAAAGTATTAAACATTTCCGTTAGTATGATGATGATTATTATATTTTTCTTTAGTGTAATTCATGAAAAAAAAGAAGGGAACAAAAAAAAGAAACTAGAAGATAATAACAATAACAAAACGAACGATCAAATGAAGGAAAGAATGAACAAAGACGAATCATGATGATTAATAATAGTTCAAGCTAGACCATCATGGAAAACATGGAAGCGCTAGATGACCGTTTCATCCTATTGTGAAACTCCTCAGTAGTGGGCATTCACGATCCCGTTTCGCGAGTGAAATTCGAATCCAGGACTTATCAGTCTCGTGAGCGAAGAAATGATAAGATAATGAAATTTATTACTTTATAGATGAATATGTTAAATAAATGAATGAGTTAATACATTGATTATTAATTTCACTATTTTTATTTGAATATATAAATACCTACATAAGTAGTAAAAAGAACAAACGAGCGAATGAACGGAAGAGTGAACAAAACTGAGTCATGATTATTGATAATAGTTCAAGGGAATTTTTGTTATTTGACTTAAGATGAAGGATGTCTTCATCATCATCATCATCATCATCATCATCATCATCATCATCATCATCATCATCATCATCATCATCATCATCATCATCATCATCATCATCATCATCATCATCATCATCATCATCATCATCATCATCATCATCATCATCATCATCATCATCATCATCATCATCATCATCATCATCATCATCATCATCATCATCATCATCATCATCATCATCATCATCATCATCATCATCATCATCATCATCATCATCATCATCATCATCATCATCATCATCATCATCATCATCATCTTCATCGTCAATTCTGATGTTGTAAAGATTTTTTACTTATGAATAATAATAAGAATTTAAAACAATAGTCATAATCAAAATATTCGTATTTTGACAATGAATAAAAAAAATAAATTAGGAAATCATAATTGCAGTATGTGATAAACTGAAAAAAAGTTGTAAAGGATAAACTCTAACTCTGAATTGCTTCGAGGGTTCAGGCAGTTTTTTGGATAGTCAGTAAAATTAAAAATGAGATCAGTCTTGTTGGTCGCCATAGGTACATAATATCTGAATCTTAAGACCATTTATGTTCTGAATGAATCTTAGTCAATTAGAGTTCTACTTATCAACAATAGAAAAGTACAAAGCTTTAAAAAGAATATTGATAGTTTCATGAACATATCAGCTCACCAACTCGATGGTTAGCGAGTTAACGTTTGAGGCTTGTTTCATTGTAGATATCAACACAGGGATGCGAGTCCCAGCTAGGACGAAACCTATGTCCCAGACTCCGAATTTAGTCACTATCCTACTTTACTAAAAATCGTCGATAGATGCTATAATAGAATAAGATTTTTAGTCTCATGCAGAGTACGGCCCACGGGTGAACTCAAGAAAGCTTTAAGAAGCTTAGAAAGAGCCGAGGATATGCCATTAAATGATGTTTCGGAAGAATATTCCAGAATCTTTAAGTTTAGCCTGCATATTGGACAAGTGCTAACAACCCTCTGTATGCGGACCGGATGACTATAGTGATGATTTCCATTTTATGAAAAAATATAAATACTTGAGAGTTTGTACCGTATTTGGCACTGCCTCGGAATAGTATTCCTTTCATTTGTCTTCTGTCTTCACATTTGCGACTTCAAGGGTTATAGTGTTCAAGTGTTCAAGTTGTACACAGAATATCAAGAATCTAAGCTCTAGATAAAACAACTGTTTAGAACGGTCAAGCTCACGATATCCTCTTAATACTAATGATCACTAAAATTAAAAAGGATCGTTTTCTGATTTCAGAAGGACTGATAAAGTAACTGAATTATTAGACAAAAACCATTTCGTTGAAGTTATTGTCACATAAGAAGTAGTTAATAATAAATGAAAATGCAAATCATGAAACAGTCGGTTAGGTGACAGTTTTATACATTTCATCTATTAAGAGTAATGAATGATCTGTAGGTAGCATTCATCAGAGACTGATCTCATTTAGAATACCACTGAAAACTAGAGTGCATTGAACAAGTATTTAGTCCTAGTATACGAATCCTCAGTAGATTGTTTTCATGACCCAGCTAAGGATGTGAACCATAATCCCTACGCCTCGCTTATTTGTTGTGTACCACAAAATAAAGACATATAAGTTCAAATAGTATGACTTTCATTGTAAAACTTGTAGGTACTTACTTTTCTCCGGATTGGGTTATGGATGAGCATTATTAGAGAGTTTCATTCTAAAATAAGATAACTGTCACAATTTCTATCTCTACCATAAGTTGGATCAATATTTGATGAATATTACCTGCTTGTAAACCAAAATTCTACAAACTATCCCATCTTCATTTCACGAAAACGACTTTTTACTCAACTTAGTTTTATCATAGTAAACGACAATTTAGTAGATTGTATTCATGAAAATCTTCATGAGAATATTCATAAGAATCTAAATCAGAACTATCAGGTCTCATGTAGTTGTTGTGTACCACACAATACAGACATATAAGTTCAAATAGCATGACTTTCATTGTAAAACTTCTATGTACTAACTTTTCTCCTGATTGGGTTATGCATAAGCATTATTAGAGAGATCCATACTAAAATAAGACAACTGTCACAATCTCCATATTTACCAAAAGTATGATCAATATTTAACGAATATTACTTGCTTGTTAACCAAAATTCTACAAAATCCCCCCCCTTTTTTTTCAATCATTCGACTTAGTTTTCTCACAGCAACTACTCATAATTCGATTAATAAAATGAGGAAATGAAAGAAAAAACACAATTACATTTTATACATGATTAACAAAATTGATTGACAATGAGCATGCATATATCTCTATATCTATTCAATATTAAAGAAATCATTGATTTCATTGTTTTAAGTGTTTCATTCAAAAGAATTTGACTTATAAAATATCAAGAAAATGATCAGATGACAAAAATTGTTTGTTTGTTTTTGTTTTTTTAAAAAAAGAAAAAAAAATATTGAAGAAAAATTTTATTTTTCAATTTTACACACAAAATTGAATTTTGATTGAAAAAATTTTTCTTTTCCTTTTTTTTTTGGAGATTGATAGATAATCGAAATTTATTATTATCTGTAATATTTAAAACTGTTTTTAAGAAAGTTAGGCAGAGATGGATAGTGGCCAGCAGCTGGATGTACCTGCATCTCAGTGTAGATGTTCACACTGTGACTCGAACCCAGTAATTTTCGGTTCAAACGCCATCGCGTTATCCAATCGTCATCAATTCTGAGATGAAGGTACATAAAGATGACGAGTCCCAAAATAGGACGAAACGCGTGTCCTGGATTCTACTAGTAGCCACTATCCATCTTTGCTTACCATGCTTGTGAATTAAGGCTATATCGAAGCAATACGCACAGTATGCACATATGACAATTAGAGACTGACCAGTTACAGTCCTAACACATCGATGGGAAGATTTAAACAAACATTGCTAAATGTTTTTAAGAAAGTTTTAATTATTAGAAGGGGATTTTTATGGAGATTTTTAGGAATGTTATATAGTTGAGATCATGTGTTAATTAAAGCTTTTAGGTTTTTCCATTATGGTCTAGCTTCAATTGATTCATGATCTTAACTATATAGAATTACTAAAAATCTCTACAAAACTCCCTTCTGATAATGATCATTTGCTCACTAGTGGCTGGTTTCAAGAGGTATTTCCTAGAGTTCTAATGAGAAGTGACCAGTGAAGTTCAACCAGGTCTGTTGGGAGATATCAACTCACTGATGACATTGGTGAATGGTTGATCAATTTCGTGGATTGGTTGAAGTTAGACTTTAACACTGTTTGATGCCAGCTAACTCAGTGGTCTAGTGGTTAAGCGCTCAGGCGCGAGACCGGTAAGTCTTCGGTTCTCTTTTCGCGAGAACGTATCGTTGATGCGCACTGCTGAGGAGTCCTACAATAGGACGAAACGGCCGTCCAGTGATTTTAGGTTTTCCATGGTGGGCCAGTTTCGAATAATTCATGGTCTCAACTATATAAACTTTTAATCAATTGAAACTATTTTTTTTAATTATATTGAATGAAAATCATATTGAATAATTATATTAAGATCGATTGTACAAGGAGGTTCACTTATCAACTTAGAATATGCAGATGGCATAGGCATGTTTGGTGAAGATGCTGACAAAACTCAGAATCTTTTGTTAGCACAGAGCAATAATGTCAGGATGTTTAGGATGCATTTCTCTCTAGCAATTTATTGCTTCAGGATTGGTCTGTGTCAACACTCGAACTAAAGATAGGTAGTGGAGTGGTCGAACTCGTCGACAATTTCACTTGTCTTGGAAGTCTGATCAACCCTAACGGGTTGGTGTCTGACGAAATCTCAACAGGGATTCAAAAAGCTCGTTTGGATTTTGATAACTTACGTCACCTACAGTGAAGGCGAGATACCCGTTTATCAATTAAGGGATGAGAAGCAGTTGGTTCTATTTTAATGAAGGCTGCTAAATTTGGCCATCAAAGTTGGAAGACACACGTAAGTTACTAGTATTTGATCACAGATGTCTTAGAAATATAACTCGTATCTGCTGGGATCACCGAGTAAGTAATTGTGAGGTTAGACACAGGGTATTAGGGAATGATGGTAAATCAGTTAATGAGGTCATGAATCTTCATCGATTGAGGTGATTGGACTACGTATTGCGTATGCTCAACCACCGACTACTATGACATGCAATGGTGACTAATGTTGGAGACTGATGGAAGAAAGTTAGGGGCGGCCAAACCAAAATGTGGCATCAGTGCTTGAAGTCACTAAGTTCCGGCCTTAGCTACGTTGGTAAATTCAGACTACTTGGTTAGAATCCATTTGACTATCGTAACCATTGGAGAGACTCTGGATAACATGGTTATAAAACCGATCACAATGACATCGGTGTATACACTTTTTATATTCCCTTAAACCGTGAGGTTAAAAATGCTATATACCTTTCTTTCTACTAACAAATTTTTTCGACTTGCATTATATCCTTATATGCAATTTTTCTTTTAGATATTACTACTATTGAAGTAACTACCTCTATGAATTTGGTGTTCATCTTGTTGTGCAACTTGGACCGATGCATATATGTGCCCAGTCCTACATTGTAGATGACTGATTGACTAACTTTTAGACGTCGCATAGAGTGTACTTTCATTGAACCATGATAAATATTAACTCAGAAATAATTAGTACTTAAATAAATTTCCTTAATGTTCAGGAAGAATTTATAACTTGTGAAATCAATTATTTTGCAAGTAAAGTGAAGTTTCACTTATGATATTTAATGAGAATAGAGCTATACAGTAAGTTGAATTATATAAGTGGAATTCCTCATTCAAATCTAATTTCATTGTAAACTTAATCGATTGATGGAAGTTCTAGAAATTGTCTAAGATGTATTTGTCATTGATAATTTTGCCACAAATAAGTATCATGAAAAATATCGTTTGTGTAGACAGAAACTGTCAATCATTGGTCTAATTACAGAGTTTTCGAGATTGCTAATGAAATAGTCAAATAGAAATAGACCGATTGGTGACTTCATTGTTACGCCTTCAGTTTAATATTAGAACTCATTATTAAATTTAATTTGTACATTGAATGTGTATCGAATAAGTAATTCCTTCATATAGTGTATCAAAATACCATTATTCAGTTTATTGTTTTAATTATAATTACACTTTAAGGAGATAATTCGGTGATGGGTAATATCTAATGACCTTTCCGGTTACGTTGACACCTGTATATGAGTCAATAAATTTAAACGAATTAGTAGCGGTGTATCTATGGCGTTGATTTAC